CATGTGTTTGACCTGAAACCTAAGCACTTACTGTCTGGCAAAAGGAAATCTGGTAAAACACAAAGACGGTAAAGCATTCTTCTGAATTAAAACACATCTATATGAAAATTCTTCTTTGTTGTCTTTAGCTTTCTTTTTCTTAAAAAAAAAAATCTGAAATAAATTACTGGTAAAAAGCACACATGGACCCCATTTAATATATAAGTCTAAAGGTAAAAAGAGAGAGTGTCATTTTAGTTTCATGATCCAGAGTCCATTATTGCAGCCATGATGGAAATATCACCACCGGAGCCAAAGCTTTGAATGAAGACCTCCATCTAATTTGCCACCAATTTCCATCATGATGCCATGTTCGTATTATTATGCTCAGTTCATGTGAATGGGATGTGGACAATATGGAGAGGGTCCAGAGGAGGGCCACCCGCATGATCTGGGGACAACAGGGCAGACCCTATAGTGAGAGACTGCAGGACCTGAACCTATTCAGCCTCCACAAGAGAAGGCTGAGGGGGGACCTGGTGACTGTCTATAGACTCACTAGGGGGGACCAGAAGGGTTTGGGGGAGACGCTGTTTCCCCTAGCGCCTGCTGGCATAACAAGGAGTAATGGGCACAAGTTGATGGAGAGGAGGTATAGATTGGACATCCACAAAAACTACTTCACAGTTAGGGCGGCTAGGAGCTGGAACCAACTTCCAAGGGAAGTGGTGCTGGCCCCTACCCTGGGGGTCTTTAAGAAGAGGCTGGATGCCTACCTGGCTGGACTCATTTGAGTCCCGTTTCTCTTTTTGGGGTTTTTTGTTGTTCTCCCGCCCTGGCGGGGGGTCGGGCTAGAAGATCTAGGTCCCTTCCGACCCTTAATCTATGAATCTATGAATGTGATTAGATTTCTCCAGGACACGCAAAGTTTTTGACAATTGTTTTATCAGTTAGAAACCTAAAGTTGGGATTAGAGGGTTTTGATAGTTGCAGATCATCTTAATAGAAACAGTTACTTGTTTCTGTTCTTAAATGGCATGTGGCCTATAAAATAGACAAAAAATATGCTTTGTATTTGTTTGTTCTCAGCCTTGAATGACCTTTTTGTTCCATCCATGGTTCTAAAGAGCATTTAACTTAATCCTTTGCATAGTGAGCAGAGATGCTGGGGAAAAAAATAGGTGCTTTATTTTGCAATAATAGAAGTAAAGCGGAACTATTTCCCTTCACGTTGTGGAGCTTGTGCTTAACCTTTTCAGATGGTTAAGATCATAGTTTAGATTAACTGTAGGTAACTCACACTACCAAGTGGCTCTTTCTTATGGTGTTGACACAGTTGTCAGCTGGGAGGAAAGGGAGCTAATACTGCTCAGCCCCTGGGTTTGTGCTTACTAAAGATAGAGGTTAGAACATAAAATGTGTGTGTGGGGGGCTTCTGGTATTTGATGTAGAAGCTGTTCAGGCTGAAACTTATTTGGCAGTTGTGATAAATCATCAAATACTGAGGCTGTCCTTAAGCCAGAGATTTACTTCTGTCCTTGTGCAACTGATAATGCCTCCTTTCATCCTTCATTTGAACTGGGATCTTCTGGGAACACAAGTGGGAACCTTTCCTTCATCAAACCGCTTACTCTGAAAAACACTGTACACTGCAGTTAAACCAGAACATGCTGTAGCATATTTTATGTAGGTATACTGGTTTTGAAAACTAGAGTCCATCTTTTGTTTTACTTCAGGGTTTTTGCATGCACTCTAGTTTTCAAAACCAGTCAACAGGACAATTTTGGTCACTTATTTGAGTTCACAATTTTGATCTTATTTGAGTTCTGTAAAAATACCTGCAAGTCAAACATTGGGTTCAGTCGTTCTCTTCTGTTTACTCCTAATCTGCATTCTTGGGTATAGAAAACATTTAGCTTTCACTTGCAAAACCCATGTACTGCACCACTATGTGTGAAGCTTGTCCATTTGAATTCCTTAATTTTCAACTATAGCAAGATCAATTGTGTATTAAATATTTCCTTGAAATATCTTCCAGAATTCATACAAGAGAGTCCAATGCAACATAACATATTTTCTGTAGGTATACAAAATAACAAAAAAGCCTTGTACAAACACGTGGTAACTTTTTCTTTAAGACAGCAGCTCTTTAATTTAAAATTATTGCTTATCTTTGCAAATGTTCTGGCAGATGTTCAGACTTGGTTACGTAATTTTCAGTTGCAGTGTGTGTCACTTCTGTTCAACAGCATTTGTTACTAGTTTTAATAAATGACTGTAAGTGCTGAAGAGAAATCAAAGACTTATTTTAATAACTATGCTGATTTCAATGAAATGTTATAGTCTTACCAGAAGACTTTAGCCTCTAATTTGTATTGCATTTAGAAATATTTTTACACTACTGATGTCTTCTAGAATTTTGGTTTGAGAAGCACGGTAGGGTTAGAGCTTCCTTGTTTACTCCACAGTTTAAAAGGCATGCTTTATTTAAAATCAGGACTTCATTAAATGTTAATTTAGTTCTAAGTCAGACAGAAGGAAGAGCACAGTGGCACTTTAGAGACCCATTGCTTGAGAGAGAAATGTACACATTTATGATTCTGAATGAGTTACTTTTAATGAGGTGGCTCGCATTTCGACTCGAGGCACCCTTTAGAAAATGCCAGCTATTTAGTCAAAAGAGAGTGTGTTTCTGACATTACAGATTCCTATTTGAAGTCTCTGGGTTTATCTTGTGAATCATGCGTACTTGTTTACACATCTTCCAATGCTAATAATCCCATTGCACCTTAAAAGGATCTTGTGTCATCCTTGTTGAGAAGCTCTACTCTAAGGTATAACACTGCCCTGCCTTATGCCTGACTTCAGACTAATGTGGCTTTCGACTTAGTCATAGTAAACTAAAGTAGCTTTATTGCAGTAATGGGTGGGGAGAGGGGAAGCAGTGTTCTGCTGTTATTTGAGCTTGTAGGACTTCTGACAATTCTAATACAATGCACTTTTTTTTTGTTAGACAAGGGCAGGCAGGGATCAAATATGTTACTCCTAAACTGCAGCACTGGGTTTAAGTTGCATCAAGGTCCCAGAAACAACTGGAGGGAAAGAACAAAAAAAACCACTGGCTGAAATTACTTTGAAACCAAATCGAGAATGTTTACAACCATTTAAAAGTTTATGCAAGAGACTTGGCATAGCATGCTATCACATAGAGCTTCAAATCCTAGAATTACCCTTTCTTCAAAAAAAATGTCCAGTGACTTGATGGGAGGAAAAATTGCCTATGTTACAAGATGATGAAACCTTTCTCTAGGCATTTCAGATATGATTCTGGCTGAATGGAATAAGTTAATTCAAGCTGTTTTTTATTTTGGATTTGTAATTAAATTTTAACAGAGTTCTCCACAGCCCGGTAACTTGTGTCCTTGGCAATGAGTTACCAGTACACAGCAACAAAATCCCAACACACATTTTATATTAAAGTTTTGAGACACTTTTTTGAAATTTTCAGGGGTACCCTTTTAGATTACTTATAAGCTATTCACATTTTAGGGAAAATGCACGTATGCATTTAAACAACACTTGTGTTCTGTGCACTTAAATATTTTAGCAGCAAGAATGGCTTAGCTCATTGCTGCTTCAGCCTTTTTGGACTTGAGCACCACTCTATAACATCTGCAACTTGAATGGCACTGATTCAAAAAATAATTTATAGGTTACAGTGCTTACCTTCCTTGCAGAAAGGCCTGGTGGTTGGGATGGGGGATAGTCCAGGTAGTAGGGACAAGCTTGAGCCTGCACTTAGCTGCTTACCATCCTAACACCTCACTTCCTTGCATCTCATGGCACCCCAGTGCCCCAACCCCCAGGTTGGAAATCATTGTTTTAGCTTAATAATTCAGATGTTAGTTTCATTCACTTATTTTTTAAATCTACCATCTATATTTACATAAATGCTTTAAAAAAGGGGCATTGTGCTGATATATTTACAGGAAGCTGTTTTTAAAAGCTAGCTACCATGTTTTTTCACATACCACATGCCCCTAGTTTTAAGAAGGCAGAATAAAGAAAAACAAAACATCTAGAGTTGGGCCAGAAGCTGATTTCAAAGGATCCTGACCAGTTAAAAGCTTGCTTTAACCGTTTCACAGCTGCTAAGTTGATAAATTTTGCAGCAGCTGTGAAAGGGTTAAAATTGTGAGCTGAAGATAAAACACCTTTTGTAGATGAGTTTATGAACTTCACTTCATAAAGCTATTGGATACAAAAAAATCATAGCGTTAATATTGATATTGGATTTATGACCTATTGCAACCTGCCAGACCTCAAATGCACCAGGTAATTTGCTTTTAGCTGACCCCTGGCATTTCTTCACACTTTTGTCTCCTCCACCCCTCTTATCTTTTACCCTTTGTATTCCAAATGTGAACTCATTTGCATCTTCACAGACTTGTTTACTTTAGCTTCTTTTCTACCTTGGAGAACTCTTAACAGCAGCAATCTCCCAATGCCTGAAAAAGGGTGCCTGAAAGCTTGCAAAGAACTTCTTTTTAACTATTTAGTTGATCTAATAAAAGTTATCACATCTGCCCAAAGGACCTTGCCCAAACTGAAGACCACACTCCTTCCCCCCGCCCATCCCCTGCCCCCAGAAACAGCTGACAGCCATTATACTGTCCTTAAATTTATTTTTGTGCTGCAGTTAATTCCATTGCTTACAATATGTACCTGAATTTTGGAAGGCTGATTTTGGGGGAAAGGGTGGATGTGGTATGTAAATAAGTGATATTTTAAGTTTTAGTATTTAATGCATCAAATGAAAAATTAGGTTTTTCAGTATCATGTCCAAAAATACATTGGAGCACAAAGTAAAGCTGGTATTACATACTGCTGACATTTAGAAAACTAGTCATCAACCAGCCGAAGAGGGGTAAAATGTTATTTAAAAACCCAATACATTCCTTGTGTACATCATAGTTGCAGCAGAAATGATGCCTCTTACAACAGTTAGAACTTAGCATGTGGCAAGTAGATTTTTTTACTGAGACTGCAGTACTAGTCCTTGTGAATTTCAAGCTTGCATTAATCCAGGAAAATTTAAAAAAAACAATGAACTTTTGTCTACAGGAGGTTGGCAACTCCTTTATAGAAACTTCTTATGGGACACAGCTGAAACAAGACACAGTCTATATAAGAATTTTAAGACAAACTATGAAAAGTTTACTTTGTCAATTTGATGGAATTCTGCCTATTCTCAAGTACTTTTTCCCCTTGATGAGAAGTCCCTTGAATATCCACAAGGAAGCCAAAATCCATTTTTATGGAGCCTGCCAAGGATCAACTGGATTGCTGGCTTGTGGGGAACATTGTGAGGCCAGTCAGCAACCTTGGTGCCACACATGCAATTTAAGGCATGATGGAAACCAGCCACCAAAATATTATGCAAGAAACATTACAAGAAACGTGTAGTATTTTGGTGGTTTCCTTTTTTGTGGTGCCGTGGATCCCTTGAACTTGTGGCCCAGTTACCATTTAAGCAGCAATTAACAAGCTAATTGGACTGTAATACCTGCCAGGGGCCTCATACATTGATCAGTTACTTTTGGAAAAATGTAACAGCTGGCTCTCATTTTTAAAGAAAGACCAAAAACTGAATAGACTCAGACTAAATTATGCTCCTATTGTTGGTGCAGGTCCTTCTACCTTAGGCTACATAGAAGAACAGCAGTTTCCCCACCAACATTAAACTTTTTTAAAAGAGAAATAAACTGTCCCCTTTCATAGTAAATTCCCACAAAAGATGCCCCAGATGTGCTATCTGTCAGTCCTTAGCTATAAGAATTAATGTTACCATAGAGCCAACTAGTGTGGTATTATCATATGTGCCTATGCTTTTTTACATTCTGTGTATATTTTTGTGATCAACAAATCTATTAAGGTTTTTCAAGTTATCCCACCACCTAAAAAGAAAAGTCTCTGCTACTAATTTGAACCATGGAGTAATCTTAATTTCATTTCTTGATGCTTTTTTCAAGAGTTGTTTTAGTTCTTTCTGTGTCACATAACAGTGGCTTTTGATTTCATTAGGATCAGGACTCAGTGTGACATCTTTCTGCACAAACAAAATGTAATCAATTTCATGTTCTCCCCAGATACCATCAGACTTGGCCTTGTAGTGAATTCGTGTTAAGTAGCAGATGTCTTCTGGAGTTACCTGCATACAAGATTATTATTAGTAAGACAGGAATAAGGTAGAGAAAACTGGTCAATATACTTAAATTCAACTTGAACAAAATTTTTTATAGTCCTTCTCCTGAGTCACCAACCAGTTAGTTAAAAGACACTCTAATTAACGTTTGAGGTCTGGGAGTATTGTAGCTTATTTCCAAAGAAAATGAACAAGACATCTTTTTCATACAAGTTGTTCGGCTGCCTTCTTTTAGACTGAAGATGACAAATAGTATTTGAAGACTGTGGGGTAACAGACAACATTTTTAGGATCTTGAACACAATCGAATTTGCAAGTTATTCTACATGTCTCAGCCTGATAATTACTGCTTGCCAAATGCAAACAAGCAGGTCTGCATTTGTTGGATTATCCCTTCATAACTTAGCCAAATGGTATCAAGATTCTCTCCATTACCTGTTCCGTGGGAATTCCCAGTTCTGCTTTTAATCGTCTCTGCGCTGCTCTTCGTACACCAATACCATCACCTTCTTCTAATTCTAATGGAGTACTTAGTGGATGACTGCAACAAGTATTGGTAAAACAATCTGCAAGGAGTAAGTTTTCAGAAAAGAATAATGTTGCAAAAACCAGTATGTAGAACTCCAATGCTTCTCCAAAAAATTTTTGGACTTTTTCAAATTTAATTAAAAGTGAACTTGACAGAGAGGTTCTTCCCCTGATAATATTTCTAACGGACATAACTATTAATGTGACTGCCTATTACTGTCTTGGTGCAGCTGTACCCTCTGTAGAACAGCATAGGGCATCTACTGTTGCCAAGTCAGCCAAGGAACAAACACCATGCTATATATATAGCTTGTGGGCTATTCCCAGAGCAGTTACTGGGAATTTAATAAGCAACAGATGCTAGAGAATACACTTCTTCACAGCTGATTATGTTTAGTATTTAGTTATACCAATCGATATTACTTAAAATGTTAAGGAAAAATCAAAGGCACTAGTTTTCAAACTTACAAGCCTTTGATTGCCTCCCCAAAACATTCCTCTGCTCCACTTCACCCTGAGTTATTTCAACTATCCCTTTCCGAGGGCAATCCAAAAGGACTAAGCTCAATTTGTACAGACCTATGCAACCTCCTTTCACTTTGTTTCAAATCCCCTGCCCACTGAAAGATTTAACACACACACCTTGTACTTTCATAAGCAAGTATAAACAAGCAAGGGACAAGTTTTCTAAGCCTCTAATTTATGTTCACATCCATTTCCCTTTTTCCAGAGCATCCGACAAAGTAGGTTGTTGTTCACTAAAACTCATGTTTCTCTGATCCAATTAGTCTCTAAGGTGCCACCAGCCATGTACCCTATTTTCTTCCTGACTTCAGGCTTGCACAGCTAATCACTTCTCTCTCCATTAGAGAAGCACATGCCTAAAACTAAATAACTTTCTTCTGTCAGTGAAAGTTTATCCTATAGTTTGTATAAAGAAACTATATAAGAAAATGAAAGAAACAATACAACTCTTTCATTAGCATGAAATATTTCCATACTTACCTGGAAAGGTAATTTTAGCATCTGATCTCTGCTGCAGCAGCAGTTTGTCTTCTGTATTGAACAGGAAAACACTGAAAGCACGGTGCAATAATCCTAAAGACAGACGTACTAAAAGTGAGTTTCCAAAATAAAGGATTCAGGCAGTAGTGCAATACAAGGGCTACGCTTATGGGACCTGAACAGACTCGCCATGTTCAGGCTCGACATCAGGAGGCACTTCTTCACTGTCAGGGCGGCTAGGAGCTGGAACCAACTTGCAAGGGAAGTGGTGTTTGCCCCTACCCTGGGGGTCTTCAAAAGGAGGCCAGACAGCCACCTAGCTGGGGTAATAATTTGACCCCAGCATCCTTTCCTGCCCATGGCAGGGGGTCAGGCTAGTTGATCTGCTTAGGTCCCTTCTGACCCTGCCAACTATGAATCACACATGTTGAAAAACTTTTTAAAAGAAACTGGTAATAACATATTTGAATGCCTTAGCATCAGCTTTTCCACAATATTTTAAAAATCTGCTCTGAATTTCACTGAGCATAGTTAAACCTCTGTTCAGTCTGATGTCCCCTCAAGTCTGTCAGGGTGTAAGCATGTACACGTGCACACACCCTACTGTGAAGTAAATGAAGGTAGGGATTTGCGGTATATCATCACATGCCCACTGAAAATTAGGACTGTCAAACTATTAAAAAATCCTGATCGCGATTAGTTACATAATTAAAAAAAATTAGTCAATCATGATTTTAATCCTGCTAAAAATTCAGAATTATGCATACTTTGTATGGTTGGGGTGGGTATGGGGTGTGTGTA